TCAATACAATCTAGATTCATATTTAAGGATTTTGAATACCGTAATCCGGGGATAAATTGATCACTATTAAACGTAAATAAATAAATTCGTACAATAAACTAAATTGAGAAACTAACGGTATTTAAAGTAGCTATGAGGGCTCCATTGTCCTGCATGATTTATTATAATATTGGATGTTTTGTTAATTTTTATGAAATTTTTGAAACCTTAAATTTAAGATTATCGATATGGGGTGAAATTTATCAACTCCTCAAATGGCTGCCCAGTGCCCAGTTCCCTAGTTATTGTTCTTATTAAATGTGGGTTCCCTGAATCCGATTCAGAAGCTAAAACCCTTGTGTGAAAACACTGGCATGCACAGGGTGGGGCAAGGTGGGGCGATTGCCCCACCTTTTATAAATAAGATTTTTATTTTCACGTTTACAAAATTATGTTACAAAATAACTTTCTTGATAACTTGATTTGAAGGTAAAATAATTTCATTTCATAAAAGAAGGGCACTGGAAACCTTTTATTGCGTCAATTACTTTGAGATGCCTGAAAATTGCACCACAAAGCTGAATGAAGGGACAAACTTCAATTAATTTTTTTGGTCAAAAAGTTGCACAGTGGTGGATACAAAAAATTTCTTGTGCATTTTTTTTCAAGGTGGATGAAAAATTCACCTTCGTGGTGGTAAATCGAAAGAAAAAGCGTTCTTTTGAATATTTTTGGTGTAAAAATATCATCAAGGTGTTGCATGGAGGGACTAATAAAAATGAATAACTCTGGTGGAGAAATTGAATCACGCTAAAAATTTGGAGGTGCACATTCAACTGAAAATTTCTGGTGGAAAGTTCTCAACACTGTTGTGAATGTAGAAGCAAGGTTTATTCGTTTTCTGGTGGAAAATTTGCACCATTTTGGTGCATGAAGAGGCAAAGCCTGAAAATTGCACCACAAAGGTACATGGTGAAACAAACTTCACTGACAATTTTTGGTGCACCGTTCTGGTGAATGGAGGAGCATGTTTTATTGAAAATTTCTGGTGCAAAATGTGCATCGCGCTGATAAATGGAATGAACAGAATATTTCTGGTGGAAAACTTGCACCGGTATGGTAAATGAAGACACAAGCTTTATTTAAAATTAAGCTATGTTGAAAATTTCTGGTGGAAAACCTGCACCGTTCTGGTGAAAACATGGGCAAGCTTTTCGGAAAATTTTGGGTCTTTATTTTGCATTCTTCTGTTGAATAGAGAAACAAATTTTAATAATAATTTCTGGAGTAAAATTTGTACAATTCTGATGATTGGAGGGAAGCTGCTTTACTGTAGATTTGTGATGAAAGATGATAGGAGAAGCAATCTATATTGAAAATGTCTGGTGGAAAATGGAAAAAGGAAATCTGCACCAATTAGAAGATTGGAGAAGCAATTTTTATTGAACATTAACGGTGGAAAATTTGCATAGTTGTGGTCAATTGAAATTTTTTGGTTTAAAATTACCTGGGGGCAAGTTTGTATTGAAAATTTCTGGTCTAAGATTTGCAACAATCTGCTGCATGGAGGGGCAAGCTGAATTGAAAATTCCTTATGTAAAAATTGCACAGTTCTGGTGAATGGAGGGGTAAGCTTTATTGAACATTTCTGGTAGAAAAACTACAACGTTTTGGTAAATGGACGGACAACTTAAACATGATTTCCGAGAAGAACCTCAAGGGTATTAAATTATGAGACAGTTCCAAGAGAAAATATTACTGGGGATGATTTTATGAAAATTCTGCGAATAATTTCTAGTGAATCCTGCAGATAGTTGCATAATAAGTTTGAAACGAATGCCGAGAGAATCAAATTTTGAATTAAATTCCAAAGGAATGTTGAGGAAAATTTCGAGGGTAATTTCAAGCTCATTCTGAGAAGAATTTCTCGAGAATACAGAGGAAATTCTTCAGAAACTTTAGGGGAATTTCAGTTTCAAGGTGTTCTGAGAAAAAAAAAGTTCAAACATATTCCGAAAAGAACCTCAAGGATATTGAGTTTTTATGCCAGTTCCAAAATATTTCTGGGGAATATTCAAAGAAAATTCTGCGGATAATTTCTAGTGCATCCTGCAATTTCGAAAATAATACCGAGAAAATCAATTTTTGAGTGAAATTTCAAAGGGATTTTAAGCAAAATTTCAACGAATTCCGAGGATAATTTCTAGCTCATTCCGGGAGAAATTTCTGAAACTCTTAAGAAATGTTCTGAGAAAAAATCATGAAGAGTTCTAAGTATAATTCCAGTGGACTTCGTCCCCAGATTAAATGCACCATAGAAAAAAAAATTGCCCCTCCTTAACAAGATTCCTGTGCATGCTTGTGTGTGAAAAGTCTTTTGAGCAGAAACGCCGAAAAAGAAGTCTTAAATGCACAGTTGCGCCTAAATGTAGGCAATTTCATTCAAAATTACTGGTAATTTTGCGAAAAATTCTGGATTTCTTGATATTTAAAACATTGTATCGCAATTTTTAAAATAATTCGGATTCATTGACACTTAGTTTAGTAAAACATGATACTTGAATGGTAATGACATCAATAGTTGCAGTCCTATGATCGTTTGTTTGGATGTTGATATTGTATGCTACTTAACGTCAGATCTAAAAAAATGAAATTTATGCAATATTTTTTTCTTTTTGTTAGGAAAAGAGATCAAGGCAATCATCAACTTCTACGAAGTTCCCTGAATTTATTCCAAATTCCATATTTTGTCAGTCTCTCTTAATTCTATGAAGATCTCTGCAGTTCTGTAAAGGCACCGATCATCTACAAATATTCTTGAACATCTGGAAAGTTCCTTGAAAGTTCTCAAAACCCCCAAGAGGTTCATGGAGCTTTTTCGAATTAAGATCTCCTAGAAGTTTATTGAACTATCTTTAGATCTTCTACAAAATTCCCTGAACTTTTTAAATATTCCTTACACTTATATGAAGTTTTACGCAGCTCCTCAAAATGCTACGACATTCGCAAAACTTCTACAAACTTTGTTGTACTTCTATGTTTCTCGATGATTTTCGCGAAGTTCTATGATCGAAATTTCTAGCATTTGTACGTAATTTCCACAACTATTCCAAGACCATGAGGCTCCAAAAAAGTGTCCTTAAATTATGTAGAGGTTTCCGATAAAAAATAAGCTTCCCTGAAATAAAATAACGTTACCTTAACTTCTACGAACCTTCTCAAACTCAAATAAATTTTCCACTTCTACGCAGTTTTCAGAACTTTTCCAAGTTTCTTGTTTCTACGATTTTTTTCTGTAGATCTATGAAGTTCCTAAAAATTCTAATAAATTTTTCTCAATTTTTACGATGTTCCCTGAACTTCTTAGAAGTCCTTAAAGTTTAACAAAGTTCCCAGAAGTTAAAGAAAAATGCCTGGGCTCATTACCAATTTGTAGATCCTGTAGACGTCTTATTATGCCATCGATTCAATATCGATAAAATATAATTTATCAAAATTGCTTATTCTAGTCCAGAACGTAAGAAAAGTAGTCAACATAAAGGACGTTAAAAAAGATTAATAACATCGAACTTGACAAGCTTGACAAAATACCGGTGAATAAAAAAAAAAACACCAAAAGTTATGGGGGGCCAAGATAATTCTGGAGGGGGCCTACGCCAATGATTGTTTGTATCCTACTTGTCAGTGTGTGTCTTAAAGAGCCGAACTGTGCCGATCAGTGTGGCATACTGGCAGAGTTGATTACCCCTTATGGGGTTTATGGGTTTTCTGGATATAATTATGAAGGTGTCCGAAATATGAAGACGTCCGAAATATAAATCAGAACGGTATCTGATAGGAAAAGTAACAGCTATCAAATGAAGTGCTTAGTTTTCAAATTGGCTAACTTCTTCAGAAGAAAAAATCAAATATAGCGGCTAATTTCAATATAACCACCAAAAATTCTAAACGTATGCTAAATAAAAGCTCTGACGTTTCCGTTTTGAATGGGATGCAAACATTAGGATTTTACGCATAAACTTTTAGTGATATATCAATTCAAATCATCCAATATTTTAGAACCTCGAAAAATAGAATCGCTATATTCTTATTAGGTACTTGATTTTCTTCCAAAACAAAATACATTGCGCCAACACGTCAAAAAGGAAAAAAAAAATCTCTGATTTTCTTTCGATGTGACTAAAAGCCAATCCAAGAATTCTGATAATATTTACAGTTGATAATCAATATCGGTTCCTATGCTTATTTGATTTCGGGTAAGCAAACGAAGTCACATAGTTAAAGAAATTTGGTATCAAATGCATTCACCGTATATATCAAATAGCCAGTTAAGCCAAAACCTTTACGGCTTGTTTCTGGTGACTCTTTCCCTAGACATTATTTCACTAGCGAATGGTTATCATCAAGACAGAAAACAGAAATGCCATTCAAGAAGATTCACGACCTGTCAGCCACCTCGTTGACGTAAGAAGCAAAGTAAAATATTTCACTGTCTGCCAGATTTTCGCATTTGGTAAACAAAGTCGTACATTTTTATATGGCTTTATTTATCAGCTACCAGTATCAGTGCCAGTCGCATCCAAATTTTATTATTTTTGTGAATGAAGCTGCCGAGGAACTGACTGTTATTGTTTGTTAACGGACTGAAATATAACAATAGGTCTGCCCCGTTTGGTCTCATTACCATTTTTGTTTTAAACTATTTCCTAAGAGACTATTTTTTTTAAATATCTTCAAAAAATTTGTTTAAGTATTACTGTTTGATTTTTTTTTAACTATTACTTCAGTTAAATTAACATACCATTGAAAATTTAGAAAAGGTGCGAAAAAGCGTTCAATTCGGCTAGGACGGGTCTATTTTCGAATCATAAATCCATTCTCTGCATAAAAAAAAAACACGATTCAGTGCTTAACATTCATACAATCGTATCGTATTCGCAGTATAAAAGTTAAAAGCTTTAGTTGAATATCCATTCAGTTGGTAAATTTGTCATCCAGTACAAGTATTTTATTTCACCAAAATGAAACGCCTTATCTTCATTCTGGCCCTTTTCGGAGCCACACTAGCTCAAAGTTCAAGACAATCCGCCACGGATGTAATCAGAAAGTTCAAAGAGGTTGCTCCCAAGTACTTGGAAATACTGGAAGCTGGAGAAACGGAGTTGGAACAACTCCGAGTGGAAAGATCGGACATGGTAGCCAAGTTTCACGATGACATCATTATCATTAAAGAAAGCTACGTGGTGGATGCCATCAAGAAGGAAATCAGTATGCATCAGCAAATCACAGGACAACCCTTCAGCGTAGACGTCACGTGTCTGAAGTTCGTGAATACAACTTTGGATATGAACATGGATCTGGCCGGTGCTGGATTCACCAATTGCATCAACAACGTTGATGAGGCTTTCAACGGAATGGTGGCCAAATACTTGAACGCAATTGGAGTGCAGGAAACGATGCTTAACGAGCTGCGTCTTCTGGATGTCTTCCGTGGGGATAACGTGTTCTACACCCCGCAGAATATCATCGATAAATTGGACAGCAAGTTGGCTGACCTGAAGTTCAACCCAGAATCAATGAATGAAGATTTGAAAAAAGCGAAGGAGACATTCAAGAACGATCTGGAAAAGATCCGTTCCGATTACGTTGGATGCATGACTCAGGGCGAACAGTTGCTTAGCGACGGTATAACATTATTGAACATGCAACTTACTTTCAGCTGTTTGGGAAAACTGATTTAAGATGTAAGAAAAAAAGAATAATGTGAATCAGAATTTGTCTGCCATCAAATCAGCAGAAAAAAAAAAACAAAGAGTCAGTTTTGCTATTATCTCCATAGTCCTACCACAGGGTAAATTCATATCCAATTTGCTAAAAATAGGAAATCGTCTTTTCTATACTCAACTCTCTGCAACTCGATTTTAAAATAATCAAAAATGTATTGACTTGAAGAAAAATAGCAAAAGATGATTTTCAAATCTGAGCAGTTCCTGGCCAAAACGCAAATAAAATTTAATTTTAAACTCAACCTCCTCCGATTTGTATGAATCTTTGCCTGATTGAATTTTAATTTGGTACGGTGCATTTGTTAGAAGAACATAATATATTTAAAAATCGACATTCTCGAAACCTTCACCATTCGAAAGAGGGGACTTTTTCCATCATATTGAGATTTTTTTTTCTTAAATCTGGAACAAAATGTTTTACTATCGATATTTTTCATACAAAATGACTGCGAGAAAAACATAGAAATAAACGCTTGAATTGATCCACATTTTGTTGGAAAAAAATTGCCCCAATGAAATATTTCACCAGTAGTAACAAAATAACGGGAAAAACTCTCGAACGGTGGAGGTTTCTCGAAAATTAAATAACAAAAAAATTACCTTTCCCATATACCCATATACTAAACCCGAGCGTCTATCCACCATGGAGGTGCGGCTCAAAACGGCGTCTGGTCTCCACACTGAAAAAAGTTTTCACTTAGTTTCTATTAGGAACGCACATAGTATTTTTCCAAAAACAAAAACAATGATTTTTACCATTAGAAATTCTATATGAGAAATCATATAGATTTCATTGGAAACATGTGATTTAGTGGTGCAATTTCCAATTATGGGATCACTTGAAAGTTATGTGAAATTCAAATGGATATTTTCCACTGGCTATGTGGTTTATTTTATGAGTACATGTTAGGAGCGGCTGATCACCGTCCTACACGCTATTTCAAAACTACCCAAATTTGGGTAGAATCCACCCAGATCGGTCAACACTGAACCTACCCAAAAATGGGTAAATTGTGTTGGTTGACAAATGAACAACGTCGATCGGATTCATGTCGATGTTCTTCATTTGTCAACTAGTCACTTCAAACACAGTTTACCCATTTTTGGGTAGGTTCAGTTTTGACCGATCTGGGTGGATTCTACCCAAATTTGGGTAGTTTTGAAATAGCGTGTAGTGCCAGCGTGGCACTCTAAACCGAGCTGTGCAAGATGGTCCCCGGCGAGACAGGGGGTTTGGGTAGGCCCAACAAGCCGTCCTGAAAAAAAACATGAAGTGGCAAATACTGAAGAAAGAAATACTGATCGGAACAAACGCGACCTACGCGACGAAATAAGGACTACGATTGGAAACTCGGAACATGGAACTGGAAATCGCTCGGCTTTCCGGGCTATCTATGATGAACTTCAACCACGCAACTTCGAAGTCGTAGCCCTGCAGGAACTTTGCTGGACTGGACAAAAGGTATGGAAAATCAGGCATCGAGCGGCTACTTTCTACCAGAGCTGTGGCACCACCAACGAGCTGGGAACCGGCTTTGTAGTGCTAGGTAAGATGCACCAACGCGTGATTGGTTCGCAGCCAATCAACGCGAGGATGTGCAAGTTGAGGATTAAGGGCTATTTCTTCAACTACAGCATCATCAACGTGCACTGCCCACACGAAGGGAGACTCGACGACGAGAAAGAAGCGTTCTATGGGCAGCTGGAGCAGGTGTACGACGGCTGTTCGCAACAGGACGTCAAAATGGTCATCGGCAACATGAACGCTCCGGTAGGACGGGAGGCAATGTATAGACCGGCAATCGGGCCAAACAGCCGGCATGCCGTATCGAACGACAACGGCCAATGATACGTGAATTTTGCAGCCTCTCGGGGTATGGTAGTTCAAATTACCTTTTTCCCCCGCAAGGATATCCACAAAGCCACCTGGAGATCACCTGACCAACACACATAAAACCAAATCGATCACATTCTAACCGATGGGAAATTCTTCTCCGACATTATCAACGTCCGCACGTACCGCAGTGCGAACATAGATTCGGACCACTACCTAGTTGCAGTAAAGGGTGATACGGTCAAAATTTGGTCAAGGGAAAACGCGTGTAAATCGGTGAAATCTTTTATTTAAAAAATCAAATTAAATTTCTTTTTCAAGTTCAATTAGTATAAAATTCAGGAAAAATATTCAGTTAGGCTTCCGCTTTTCCAAATCCGAATTGCCGGGCCTTACGCTTGACCCCTGCCATCAGATTTTGTACAGCCACCTTGTCCACCTTCTTCGCCGCAGAAAGCCAGTTTGCCTTGAACTGCTGCTCGCCCTTAGCAGTTTTTTTGGTCTTCTTTAGGTTCCGCTTGACAATAGCCCAGTATTTCTCAATTGGGCGGAGCTCTGGCGTGTTGGGAGGGTTCTTGTCCTTGGGAACCACCTGCACGTTGTTGGCGGCGTACCACTCCATGGCCTTTTTACCGTAATGGCAAGATGCCAAATCCGGCCAAAACAGTACGGAACAACCGTGTTTCTTCAGGAAAGGCAGCAGACATTTATTCAAACACTCTTTCACGTAAATTTCTTGGTTGACAGTCCCGGAAGCTATGAAAATGCTGCTTTTCATGCCACAGGTACAGATGGCTTGCCAAACCAGATATTTCTTTGCGAACTTTGACAGTTTCATGTGCTTGAAAACATCTGCTACCTTTCCCCTTCCTTTTGCCGTATAAAACTCCTGTCCCGAAAGCTGCTTGTAGTCGGCTTTGACGTAGGTTTCGTCGTCCATTACCACGCAGTCAAACTTCGTCAGCATCGTCGTGTACAGCCTCCGGGATCGCGCTTTGGCCGTCGTATTTTGTTTATCATCGCGATTTGGAGTCACTACCTTCTTGTAAGTCGATAGTCCGGCTCATTTTTTGGCTCGATGCACGGTTGTAGACGATACACCCAGCTTATTTGCGGCATCTCGGAGAGAGAGGTTAGGGTTTCGCTTGAAACTACCGGCAACTCTCTTTGTCGTCTCAGCGGCTTCCGGTTTTCGATTCCCCCCCCCATCCAGACTTCCTGGCTGTCGACAAACGTTCCCCAAACACTTTAATAACATTTGTAACGGTTGATTTGGCAACTTTTAGCGATTTTGCCAACTTTGCGTGCGAGTAGCTCGGATTTTCGCGATGCGCGAGCAAAATTTTGATACGCTGCTCTTCTTGCTTGGACGGCATTTTGACAACTGAAGAGTGAATTCCAAAATCAAAATAGGAGCAACATTCTACACACACACACACCTTCAAAATGAGGGGTGTTCAGGTTTTTTAAATGCAAAATTGAAAGAAATACGTCAAGTTGATATTGACCAAATTTTGACCGTATCACCCTTTATGCATGCGCTCAAAACTCTCGACGGTTCATAACACCCGTCGAAGTCGAATGCCGCGACCCAACATTGAGCAACTACGGGACGCCGGAGTTGCCCAGGACTACGCGCAGCAGCTGGAAGTTGCACTACCCACGGAAGAGCAGCTTGGCGCAGCTTCTCTTGAAGATTACTGGAGGGAAATCCGTTCCGCCATAGGTAGTAGTGCTGCAGCGGTACTAGGTACTGCAATCCCGGACCGAAGAAATGACTGGTTTGACGGCGAATGCAAATTGTTAGTAGAGGAGAAGAACGCAGCACGGGCGAGAATGCTGCAACACCGCACGAGATTGAATGTGGAGCGATACAGACAAGCGCGGAACATACAAAACCGAGTACAAAACTCGGTTTTCCGAAGGAAGATGCGTCAGCAGGAAGACCGAGATCGCGAGGCGATGGAAAATCTGTACCGCGTAAACGACACACGGAAGTTTTACGAGAAGCTAAATAGTTCTCGCAAAGGCTACGTGCTGCAAGCCGATATGTGCAAGGACTTGGACGGTAACCTTCTCACAAATGAGTGTGAGGCGATTGAGAGGTGGAAGCAGTACTATGACGAGCACCTCAACGGTGATGCAGCAGAAAACGAAGGTGGCACGGCAACAGACCTTGGAGCACGTGCAAAAGACGACAGGCTACCGGCCCCTGATCTACAAGAAGTTGAGGAGGAGATCGGTCGGCTGAAGAACAACAAAGCAACTGCTGTAGATCAACTACTAAGTGAGCTATTAAAATACGGTCGTGAAGCACTGGCTAGAGCGTTGCACTGGGTAATTGCCATGATTTGGGAGGAGGATATATTACCGGAGGAGTGGATGAAAGGTGTCGTATGCCCAATCTACAAAAAGGGCGACAAGTTGGATTGCTGCAACTATCGCGCGACCACACTGCTGAGCGCCGCCTACAAGGTAATCTCCCAAATTCTATGCCGCCGCCTGTCACCATTTGCAAGAGAGTTCGTGGGGCAATACCAGGCGGGATTAATGGGTGCCCGCGCTACCACGGACCAATTTTTTGCGATTCGGCAGGTTCTGCAGAAATGCCGCGAATACAACGTGCCCACGCATCATTTATTCATCGATTTCAAAGCCGCATACGACACAATCGATCGAGATCAGGTATGGCAGATAATGCAGGAGTACGGATTTCCGGATAAACTGACGCGATTGGTCAAGGCGACGATGGATCGAGTGATGTGCGTTGTTTCGAGTATCGGGGACACTCTCGAGTCCCTTTGAATCTCGAAGGGGGCTACGGCAAGGTGATGCTCTGCTATTCAACATCGCGTTAGAAGGTGTGATAAGAAGAGCTGGGATAGACACAAGTGGCACGATCTTCAGGAAGTCCATCCAGCTTCTTGGCTTCGCCGATATAATGTCAATGTCAATGACACGGAACTTTGAGACGATAGCGGAAACGTACATCAGACTGAAGGCTGAAGCTAGACGGATTGGACTTGCCATCAACGCATCAAAGACAAAATACATGAAAGGAAGAGGTTCTAGGGAAGACAATGTTAGCCTCCCACCCCGAGTTCAGATAGACGGTGACGAAATTAAGGTGGTCGATGAGTTCGTGTATTTGGACTCACTGGTTACCGCCAAAAATGATACCAGCAGAGAAATTCAAATACGCATTATGGCAGGGTATCGTGCCTACTTTGGACTCCGGAGGACCCACAGTATACTCAACAGATGGCGGTTATGTTTTAGCGACGATGTTTTACAATGAGAAATATTCAATTTTATTTGTCTGTTTGTCTGTGGTATGATCATTAAGGTGAAGCACGTCAAATTTAAGTTGAATAATAGCAACCGGAACAGTATTATACAGCAATGCAGAATTGTAAATAACTGGTGACAGTAAAACACTTCTCTCATTTTCAAGTGCAGTTAACACAATGTGGACACAAGTGCGTGATTTATTTCGATGGTCATTTGGATGCTATTTTAGTGCCATAAATGACTAATATTTTTGCAATGCGGGCTAAAAATTCAGTGCAATATAACAGTCAACACACAGGAATACAAATGTTAATACTTCCGACGTCGTCGCAGCCAAGTTCTGGAGCTATTCCTTAAAAGCTCCTCTTCCTTGTCTCTACTGCTGCCCCTGCTTAGAATTATAAAGGTAGGCAGTGAATTTAGAAGAACTGAAATGCCGGAAATACAACGACTGACACAGGCACAGTGACGACATTTAACAAATCATGCTATCAAAATATGTGTAACGCATTGCTGATTTGTGAAGTAGTGATAAGCTTAAATAAGGTTTGTTCAATCTTTAGATCAGCTAACTTATTGAGGGCGGTACAATTCGCTTCATGCACTACTAATCAACTATATAATCAGCCTCGTGTTAATCTGCTTTGGACACCTTAAATCAACCAATAATCAGTGTCTGTTCTTACTGTTCAACTTGAATTGTTACATGGGTATGTTTGTTTGTTTACATTCTGCTTGTTATTCTATCCATAACAATCGACAGAATTGTACAAAACGGTTTGAAAACGTTTTTACAACACTCCAAATTTCTCAGGTGACTGTGACTATTGTAGGCAGCATCTTTTTCTTCGGCAACCTTTCTATTTGAACTGCGTTTTAACCAGCTGTTCTATTATCGGCAACTCGAAATCAGCCTTATTTTGTAGTGGATATATTAAATTTTAAGAAAAACCTGAGAAAATACAGCGAAATTAACGTTAACGATAACGGTCAATGGGTGCCGAAGCCATCATTTACCCTACATATGCCCCTAAAAGACAAATAACGTTCTCGCTCTTAAAACAGCTTAAATTATTCCTCATCCTCTGAACTCGTTGAGAGCCTGAAGTCTATTCGCCGCGATTTACCACTCCCTTTTAGCAGCCCTTTAGTTATTTACAGGATACACGCTATTTTAAACTACCCAAATTTTGGTAGAATCTACCCATGTTCACTTGTCATGACGTCACGTAGGTTCAGTTTTGACCGAACTGGGTGGATTTTACCCAAATGTAGTTTTGAACTAGCGTGTTTAGCTATCAATCTTTCATAAGCTTTACATTTGAACCCTAACTTTAATCGCACTTAAGCAAGACTTTAATTTCGGATAAACAAATAAATCACATCGATCTGCACGTTTACAGGACTGTGGGGATTGTAATGTTTGTCAGCATTCGGGTGAATATAAAGTAAATATACCCGTTCATAAAGATCAATAATCATCAGTGCATAATTTATTTCGTACGCCTTTTCACCGAGTGCCTACACTACATGAACATCGTTAGATTGTTAGATTTGCTTTGATGCTTCGCCAGCACAAATTGATCGCACTTGCAGAGCGGCGAACTTCAAGCTGTCCGATAATCTGCCCTGGGCGGCAGTCATACAACTACGGACGCTGGTCTTTATTTCGTTGAAACCCGCTTGGAGGGCATCCATGTTTTCGAATGACAGGGTCGGCAGGTTGAGGCCACCTTTCGAACGTTCTGACAGCTTGTTGCGAAGTTTCGCTGGATCAACGAAGATGTTTTCCCCGCGGAATGCACCCAACAGATTGAACTGTTCGTACTGCTCACGGGACAGCTGTAGGTTGTCGATTTGCGATAGTTTACTGAACACCTGGTCATCGGCATCGTTAAGGCAGTTGGCATAGGCAATGCCAGTCAGGCTCATCAGAATGTTGGCACTCTGCCGGATGAATTGGACACATTGTGGACCACTGACTTGGACGTCGCTTCCGGATAGTTGGTTGAGTAGAGCGGATTCATCGTTGATGGCTGTCTGGATGTAGCTTTCTTCCGTGAGGATTACATCACTCTGAGCAGTGGCCAGATAATCCGAAAAGCCGGACAGTATCTTCTTGGACCGTTTCAGCTGCGTGAATACCTGAAGCGACTCATCACGCTCGGCCAGCACAAACTGTAATGCAATCATTAAAATAGTCACTATCTGGGCTCCATCCGACTAGGGAGGGGGTAAATCAAAACACTTACACTCGATGCCAGCAGCGATATCAACACCAATAGCGATAAGGAGACGAGTGTCTTCATGTCGTTAGGAATGATTTGTACGATGGTTGTAAAAAGCCAATCGATAGATTGTTTGATTGTTTTCAAAAGAATACGTGCTACAGAAACTTACACGCTGTATACACGGTTAAAGATTCATGAATGAATGATAGCCAGTCGCGACAAGTAGTGCATTTTATATATGTTATCAGCAACATCAGCTCGTCTTCAAATGATAAGAACGCGAAATGAAGGATAACGGAGGGGAGGGATTTAGTTTGTTTTATCACGCCACCACCTCAAAATAACGTCAACTTCAACTGACTTTCCTTGTTTGTGGATCGTTTCTGAAAATAGAAGAAATAGAATTATTGCATCCATGTTTGTTTATTAAACATACTAAATTTACGGAAGATGAGATTCTAAAAACACTCAAATTTATTTTCCCCGACTAGAATAGACAACGTCAACAAACCAAAAACGAGCGCTATCTCATCACAGTAAATTAATGTCTTCAGTCATCGTAGTCACGGGATTAACATTTTTTTTTGTTAACCTTCTCCAACCCCCACTCCACTAAACCCAGGTCAGGTGGAGCGGCTCTACTGGTTCTTAATTGATATTCGCGACCAACCAAAGGTTAATTCCCGGAAGCTTGCGTTTGCTACTTCAAGCGTTCGTTTGGACAGGTTATCTTGTGGACAATCTCCCTGGACGCACGTTGCTTATCACCGTTTGGTCTAGAATGGGGTTTAGGGTAGCATTTTTACCTTACATTTTTGATATGGGTGAAATATGGGATCTGCAGCAGCATACCGGTCGGTATCAGTTTGAACTAAGGTTTGATACGTGTATGAATAATAAATGATGGTGCGATTCAACGATGATGTCACGTTTGTTTGTATTTTTGTGAATCGAGTGTATAACACAGTAACGTTTACTAGGTGGTTTTTTCGAAGGTTCAATGGCAAAGAAATTAATTTTTCAGTTGGCGCAATAAGAGCGTTCAGTTTCACTTATGAAATCGATCTATCACTCAATTTTGTTTTCAAACATTCCTGGAATGATTCTAATACTTATGATTGATCGTCTCTGTCTAGGTATTTACACGCGTATTGTTATGTTTACTAGTGCTTGATGCAATTGTGTAATATTTAGAAATTACTCACTGATTTCGTGGAATATTGCATTATTCTTCGAATAATTAGTTAAATTTTTAGTAATTGTTTTGTTGTTCCCCGCACCAAGTAATTTTGATTCTATTTTGTTTTTTTTTATATATATATATTAAAACAATTTCGGTCTTTACTTCAGTCCAACTGACATGTTTTTAAGAACTGTATCGGAATTCAAAGAATAAATACTTGTGGCTCTGAATCCAGACCGAATAGCCTGGCACAGCAGACGACTCGAATGCGACCGCCTCGGTTGCTTGCTCAACTCGCACTCCCAATTTCTTACAAGGATTTTGCACATAATAGGACTTAGTTTTATTTGAGATAGACATGTTCACGCGAGCAAAGTGCATGCTGATCACAATAAAACATGATCTGACTCATAGCAATCATTGAACACCGTTCAAACATGTTGCACTGCTCTTGAACTTGAAGCTCTTCCATAGAACTTGAACGACGTTCATGAACCGATATACTATTGGGAGCGGCAGTCAGCCATTTCTGCTTGGAATTTTTTGAAGTGTTACGAACTGTGGCAAGATGAAACTTCGTATTCAAACTTCGACAATAGAGTAGTGCATAGAGTGTAAGCTCACTAACATCCAGTTATCTGGAAGTTTCAAGCGATCTGCAGACTTTAGGTACGAAGTGCTTTATGACATGGCGTGAACTCGATTTAACTTTATGAGGCTGTCATTTATGAATTCTACTTACTTTTTCCCTGTATCTAATGCATTGTTTGTCTTATAATTTTGCACCCTTTTCGTCTTCTCTTACGCCGTGACAAATGCCATCATACGTTACATTTGCCTGTTCAACCTTCTACCAAAGATTGTCGCTCAGATACTATAAATAAGCTTAGTTTACATATCTTTATTTCACACTATTTCTTCACCAAATCCAAATGTCCGAAATTTCTTCTCAGTTCGACCCACAACGGTTGAATCGACATTTTTCTTTCTGCTTTCAACTAAGATTTTCAGTGTTCACTCGGTTATCGACAAAAGCAGGCCACTCTTTCTCAGCAGTTCTTTCGGTCGATGCGTCGTCGACTTTGGAAAGCAACCGTTTCGTGATGAGTGTGTGACTGCTGACCACGTTTTGCGTCCATTGCTGCAATGGAAGCGCTCTGCCCCCCGATGGCGTAATTGCCATACAAGGAAACCACTGGAAGCGGCTCCAGTTCATATGGAGGAGGCTTTTTGGATAGCGGAAGATAAAGTGTTTATTATGTTGTATCTTTTGACTACAGTTTTAAGATGTATTATGTAGTGACCTTTTGACTATAGTTTTAAGATGTATTGTGTAGTGGCTTCCCTTAGCTCAGTCGGTAAAGGCACAGCTACAAAGCAAGACCATGCTGGAGGTGGCTGGATTCGATTCCCGGTCCGGTCTAGGAATTTTTCGGGTTGGAAATTTTCTCGACTTCCCTGGGCATAGAAGTATGATTGGACTTGCCACACAATTATACCAATGCAAAAATGGTACAGGCATCGAAAGCTCTCAATTAACAACTGTGGAAGTGCATCTAGAACAATAAGTTGAGAGCACGCAATAAGCTAATATGCAATAAGCTTGAAATGCGAAGAAGAAGAAGAAAGAAGTGTAGTGACCAAGAATTCTCGGCTCTGTAAAGTTAATTCGTTTGAGCCTTATCAAATAAATTAATAAACAACAACTATGATTTCAACATTTCCTGCTCCTTGGTGACAACTTTAGGATGCTTTCGGAGTTCGTGCTTCATTATAGCTCAGTATCTCTCGATCGGCCGCAACTCCAGTGTGTTAGGGGGATTGAGATTCTTGGACACGAAATTGACCCCATTCGTCACTCCAGAACGTCCTTGGAGTAGTGACAAGAGGCTAGATCCGACTAAACAAATGTAGGGGCGTTGTGTGATTTGAGAAACAGAAGCAGTCATTTCATCAGGCACTCATTCATGTAGACTTGGCCATTTACGGTTGTAGGTGAAAGACTTGCTCCGCTTTCCACACAAACAAATCGCGTGCCAAATCATGAATTTCTTGGGGCACTTCGACACTTGCTGTCTGGTTTCCCGGAATTTGTTCGAAGCCCAGATTTTCGTATGTTTCACCGTCCATGATAGAGCAGTGTGGTTTTTTCAACATTTGTGTGTACAGTTTCTTGGTTTTCTGCACGAAACGTTTAGTCAGGTGCAGTTTTTTCGCGACTTCACAAACGGAATAGTTGGGTTTGCGTTTGAAAGCAGCAACCATTCGCTTGTGATCTTCAACGCAGTACGGAACAGTTTTTCTTGCACTCCCTTGCTTCCGATCTACAGTTAAACGTTCTCCGAAACGTTTTATGACACGAGAAACAGTAGATTGTTGGGTTCCCATCATCTTTCCGATGGCTCGGAGCGAAAGATGAGGGTTGTTGAGTTGAGTGTGCGCAGCGCACGCACTGTACCTTCTAATTCTTTTTCAAAACAACTAGAAATTTCACTATGAAACTCACGCAGTGTAAACTATACACGCTGAGGCCATCTCACCCAAAATTTCATTAATTTTACCCAAAGGACACATTGGTACAGTTTTCTTTAAAGTAATGCAATTTAACTTTGGACACCCTTATAAAGCTATGTTAAAGTTTTTGAAACGGAATATAGGGGAAATGGAGGTAATGTCGGCCTATATGTCCCTAATGTGGGCACATCGCTAAAAGTCTGCTAATTATGAATTTTATCTAGATGAACGCGTCGTTGGAATGGTACTAATGGATATTTTTGGTCACTATTGAAAATTTATTCGATTGCTGAATTTATGTATGGGCCCAAATTAGGGACATGTATATTTACATTGAAATATACACCTTTAGAAATAACTAATTTTACACGTGACGGAATCCATCTTTGACATAAAGGATCAGACGTAAACAAATATTTCATGTAGAATTAAGTGCTCTGAAACTGAAAAGTTCGTTACTCGACGAAAAGTACGTTTGATTGAGCTGAATTTTGCGTCTATTATGACTCAATTTTATGTCAAAATTGACGCTCGTATATGTCAGTCTCAGAGCACCTAAATTTACATGAATTTTTCTAAGTGTGTATGTTTTCATGATAAAAAAACCCCCGGGAGATCGATTCCCCTTTGCGCACGCTAAGGAAAATATTTACGTGTTTTGGTGCTGATTTTGCCCCATGCTCCCGTGTATTAAAGATGTTTATTTAAAACGTTTAATAACGTAATTTGTCAGTAAATTTTAGTTAGAAATGACCAATTATGTTTTCACAGTCAAAAGGTAACCGTTAGGAAACTACTGGGAAATTTATAGGAGAATACGGGGTAAACTAAGTCCCATATGTCAAATATGCTTAGAAGTGGATTTTTAACTCCAGTTTGAAAAACAAATGCAGCCCTTTTTTCTTGATTTGTCCTCCGTCGATCCGTGCTGAACACCAATGCTACCGACGCCAGGGAGGCAGCTCCCACACCTGGACCCTACCTATCGACCCATCAACTCCTGAACCGGGGACCAACGGCTTTACTTCCCTTCCGAAGGATCAACCCGGCGGCGCGACTGGGATTGAACCCTGGCCTGCTGGGCTGAGAGGTTATGGCGCATACCACTGCACCACCGGCGCCGCTCAGGATGCAGCCCTACGTTGTGTTGTGATGTTTTCAAGGTGGTGGAGGATGTCGTTTCAAGACACAAAATAAACTGCAATATTCACTTAGCGGCACTACAATAAAGGGTGATACGGTCAAAATTTGGTCAATATCAACTTGACGTATTTCTTTCAATTTTGCATTTAAAAACCCTGAACAACCCTCATTTTGAAGGTGTGTGTGTGTAGAATGTTGCTCCTATTTTGATTTTGGAATTCACTCTTCAGTTGTCAAAATGCCGTCCAAGCAAGAAGAGCAGCGTATCAAAATTTTGCTCGCGCATCGCGAAAATCCGAGCTACTCGCACGCAAAGTTGGCAAAATCGCTAAAAGTTGCC